ATGATCCTCCAGTTCTCTTCTTGAAAGAGCATATGTAGCTGTGTTGTATGATCTTTGTTTATACTGGATAGTATAGTTCAACTCCAATGGTTTCAAGACGCCCTTATGTTGTACCATCGAATATACTCTTTGATCTAAGAAATACTTCAAGCTGCCTCGGTCAATCTTGGTGACAAAAGGAACTTCTTCCAAAAAATGCCGCACTTTTCCTACTGCATATAAAACTATCATGAGTTCCTTTTGGTATACTCATTTGTCTTCATTTCTGGGACTTATAGCCTTGCTTAAGAATGTTATAGGCTGGTCTTCCTGCATTAGGACTACTCTGATTTCTTCGTTGCTGGCGTCAGTCCGATAGTGAATGGGTTCCTAAATTTGGGCAGTCTTAGGACAGGGTTGGAAGTCATGGTTTTTTTTTAATAGTTGAAAGGCTTGGTCGGCCTCTGCATTCCATTGGAAAGCACCCTTTTTCAACAAATTGATAAGTGGTTTGGCTATGATTCCATAATTCTGTATGAATTTAGAGTAGTACCCTATTAGGCAAGAAAATCCTCTGAGAACCTTCAATGTTTGTGGAGTCTACCAATTGACCATGACTTCTCTTTTCAAGAATTCAACTTTACTCCCTTCCGAGAGATTATGTGTTATAGATATTCTACCTCAGCATGGAAGAAACAACATTTTTTTTTTTAAATATAAAGTATAGTTTATCATTAATTCACGAGTACTAACAAATATTTACAAGTCAATTAGTATGTCAAATGATTGGTATGGAAGAAGCAACATTGAGACTATTTGGCATACAATTTGTTGCTTCTAAGGCTTCAGGACTTCTTCAAGTTGTTAGAAGTGTTCTTGTTTAGTGGTGTTGCAAACTAATATGCCATCGAAGAAAACAAGAACGAATTTTCACAGGAAAGCTTTGAAAATATGATTCATGAGATACAAAAATGTGAGTAGAGCATCAGTAAAGCCAAAAGGCATCACTTTGAATTCATAGTGATCCAAAGTATCCTAAAAGTTGTATTGCGTATATCTTCTTCTTCACACAAATCTAATGATAACCTGTTAAAAGACCAATTTTAGAAATACAACCACTTCGTGTAATTCATCAAGAAACTCATCAATAATGGCCATCGGAAACCTATCTTTTATGATCAGAGAATTGAGTTCTTGTAATCACCACAGAACCTCCAAGGACAATCCTTCTTCTTGAACAATAGTATTGGTGATAAGAATGGGTTGCAACTGGGACCGGATGAGTGACTCATCCAACATCTTTTGCACTTGCTTTTTTATTTCATTCTTTTGGTGGAACGAATATCTGTAAGGACATATATTCACTATAGTATTCTCTTGAACCAACGAAATGGTTTGATTGAAGGCCTTGATTGGAGATAACCCTTGGGTTCCTCAAAGACGTCCTTATATTGGTCAAGTAATGCTCCGAATGCTTTGTTGGAGGTCTCTGAAGTTTGTATCTCCCTTGCAATTTCCATCACCAAAAATATGGTTCTGCCTTCAATTACTTGCTTTTGCTTGGCCCACTTCCTTACCTTAGTCTCTTTTACTTCGGTGGTTAACTTCCCATAACAATCGCTTCCATGAAGCATTATGAGTAATTCACTATACTTAAACTTAATACTGGCTTGAATAAAGTTGGATATTATTGGGCAGAATTGTTTCCTATAATTGACACCCAATCTCATGTCATATCCACCCAATGGAATTACACGAAAATTATAGCAACTTCCATCTTTACATTCCCCAGGAGACTCCTGGATATTCGATGCTGTTAGACATTTTCTGCAAGTTGTCTACCATAACTATTAATGGTTTATTGCTAACCACATGAATCTTGATCCATTTGGCCACTGCCTCTTCCAAGGAGTGCGAACATCTACTATCCAAGAGAACTAAGATGCCATGTCCTACCAACTTTCCTCGGCTTTTGAGGGTACTTCCTACAGCAACCCTTCTATTGCCTGGATGGACAAGGCGCCTATGGAGTTTTCTACACCCTCGGTCAAGTTTTTAGGTACCTTTTCTTCCAACAGCTCTTTGCTGGCAATTTCTTCCATCGCTATTACAGTTTTGTTTGGGTAACGGTGTCTTAGGAAATAATGGTTGCCACATTTGTAACAGGCTATCGTTAACTTCCTAGTCTTTATTTCCCTTCCTGTGGCTCGAGAAGCTCATTCATAAGCTCTGTCATGACCTTCAGAAAGTTGGACAGCTTCTATGTAAATACAAGCTCTGGGACATCTCTATTATGGATTGCTCTTGGAGCACGACTTGCTCAGATGGGTTCATAAGCTCTTTCTCCAACAAGGGAAACATAATGCTGAATGGGTTATTCCTGAATATCATACTATTCAGGAGTCTATTATTATAGTTTTGGCAACTTTAGGATTTTATTGTTTAGTATTTAGATTTCCTATTTGTTTTTATGTGTCCCATTTGTATTAGGATTAGTAGTCATAATCTTTTTAGTATTAATAATCCTACTTTGTTAGAAATAAGATTCCTAATTTAGTTTTGGTATTTCATGATCTAGTTTAGGAAAGACCTACTTAACATTCTATAAATATAATTATAACCTCTTAAGATAAGAGCATTCAACTATTCAACAACATTTTGAAAGTTTCTCAATTTTATGGTTATGTAATGTAATTAAACTCTTAACTGTGATGGTTAAAACTTTTAGCTGTGATGTCTGAGAAATCCTAGGTGTGATGTCTAGGTCTTTGTTTCCAAACTATGATTGGACAAATCAACCTTATTTGACCTACTTTAATTTAGTATCAGAACAAAAAGAATCCTATACTGAAACAGCCCCAAAAATCCATCTGGAAAAAAAAAAGTTCACAGAAATTCTGCAGCATATTTCAAGATTCTCTTGTAAAAAAAACATTCTTATTACGATATTAATCAATGCAATAGCTAATAAACGGCAAAACTAAAAGATACCATTCACGTCCTAGCTCCATTGCACGTCCAGTGACCCAAAGGAAAATGAGACCGTCAGTTTGCAATGCAGGAACATTCAGATTTCGCATCTCATCATCAGCCATTGTCCCATAAGGCAATTCCATATGAATGTCCCATGGTGGGTCTGCCATTATAACTCCAAATTGCCCCAAAATGTCCATTCTGAAGTTTCGAATGTCACAATTGATCCATTGAGGTTCACCAAGTTCCACTTCTGAACAATAATCAGCTCGTTGAGGCTTCAATGATTTTTCAGGACCCATTGTAGTATCTGGTGTTTGGTCAAGCTCATAGTGAACGTATTTGCATGTCTAGCAACGGGAGAAAAGATATATTAAATTTTTTCTAACTCAAGGCTATGTACAAATTTTAGAACAAATTATTAAAATAGTCTTCGAGTTTGGCACTTATCACAATTTGGTCCTTTTTTTGGTTATAAATAGGTACCTAATGTATTTTATTTGTTTTAAGCATCAAGTTTCCTTCCATTTCTTAATGGAAAAAGTTAAAAATGGTTAGGTTATATTGGATACTTTAAAAAAAATAATTGAAAGAAAATGACTTTATTTTAAACGTCAAATTTCCTAACGTCAAGCAAGTCCCCAATGTTTTCTATTTGTTTTAAACACCAAGTTTCCATCCATTTCTTAATGGAAAAAGTTAAAAATTGTTGGGTTATGTTCAGATACTTTTTAAAAATAATTGAAAAAAAAAATGACTTCGATTAATAAACTAAAGTAATGAATTAGTAACAATGTAAAATAGGTCTAATATTATTATTAATTTAATCTAGTAATTTAATTAATTAATTAAAGTCATTCTTTTGAACTGTTTTTTAAAAGCATCCAAATATAACTTGACCATTTTAGCTTTTCTTGTCAAAAAATGGAAGAAAATTAAACATTTGAAACAAACAAAAAATGTTAGGGACCAAATTATAACGAAAAAATATTTGGGACCAAATTGTAACAAGTATCAAACTTAGGGGACTAATTTGATAATTTATTCATTTTATAGCATATGATAGAATTAAATCCAAGTCAAAAGTGTTGGGAAAGGTAAAGTAAAGTATTTACCTTCATGTGACGACAAGTATCCAAAAATGAACAATCCCCTAAACTGATATCAGTATGTGGAGCAATTAATCGCCGAAAATGACGCTGAAAATAATTAAAGAAGTCAATAAAAATTATCTAGGCCACTATAAGTCAATGTTATTTGTAGTCAAGAGAGAATTATAAGAACATGTTAAAAGGTAAGCACTGAAATAGAATTAGATACATTCTTAAGAATCAATGCGGATAAATAACAAAATTGTTTGTCACAAGAAAGTCTTGTTCTCTGAGGGAAGGCAGGACAAGCTAGACCCAACAACTCTTTTACTCTCTGCTGTCATGAAATCCATTAGATATACAGTTCTCACTCAAAAGCATTAATAAGTTTCCCTTCTGCTCATGCTGGAAAAGGATCAATAGCCATCAAAACATGATTCTCCACTACTATGGCAGTGTTCGTGCAAGAATAGAACAGAATATGATAGAATAGAATAGAATTACACACGATCGAACAAAAAAATTTCGTGTTTGATTCACTTCAATTTGAACTGAACAATACAGTATATAATTACTCAAATGCCTTTGCACTTTTTATTGTTTTAGTTTGTATTTTAAAGTTATTTAATTTATTTTTTATTTTGTAGTTTTAAATTATTTAAATATTTTATAAAATTAATTTATATTTACTTAACTAGTAACTTAACTATTGATTTTTTCAATTTAAATTGTTTCGGTAAAAAATTGAACTATTAAAATTAAAATAACTTCTAATGAAATTAAAAAGAAACATTGATATTATCAATGGTGTTGAAGACAAAGTGACAATCTTACCATAGTTAGGGCCATGCATGTGCTACTCGATTTAAAAATAACCTTTAAACAGTGTAAAAATTAAAGGAAAAAATGATTAGAGAGAAGATGAGAGAAGGGGGATATTTGAGATAAAATATAGTTTGCCTCAGGAGTTCCACCATTTTGTAGGAACAAAATTGTTTCACCAATAGACACTTCTTTGTACAGCTCAATCGCCATATATTTGCTACCGAACATGGTACTTCACTCTCTTATTCTATCTAGTCTCACAAGCTTTATGGCATAAATGCCATCTACGTTAAAATGCATAAACACACAACAAGCTCGCATACATATTTTATATCAAAGGCGAAAGGTAGAAACAATAAGGATCAGTAAACTTAAACTTAATGGTGCACTACTCATAAATTAGGTTCTTGCCATGTTCTGTCATTCTAGAGAGTGCCATACAGTCAAGGGGTGGGTAGGCTCTCATATTCCCAACTAAAACCAGACATCCTCCAAAAAAATATCTTTTCTATTTGGTTTGTAGCACAAAATAGTTAGGGAATAAATGGTGAGAACTAAAACAACTAAGATGTTGATCACCAAATCAAAAGTATTAAGTTCATATGCAGTAAAAAGAAACACCAGGCTCCAATATGATATAATGAAATTCAGTTGTAGAAGCTTCAAAAAGAAAATCTCACCCCCTAGCATAGAAGTATGTAGCATTAATTTAACATGTATATTTTCGCTCCATCAAAGATGCCGTAACCAGAATAAGTATTTCACCAGATTTTCAATTGGGGAAACCAAAATTACATCAAGGAAATACAATTCAAAATGAATATATGCTATGTCAGGCTTTCTAACAAAGTTTGGAAACTATACTTTGACTGACCTTGTTACATGCTAAGATGGAACCAGATTGAAGACGGCAATCCTCTTTTGTCAGGTACTTACAATAGTACTTAACTTGAGAGCCACCTTTGCTTTTGAACTGAAACAATTATTTAACATTATTGTCACTGACAAAATTAATTACAAGCTTACAAGGAACACAGAGATGATTTACAAGATAAAACGTAGAGACATCGATAACAAACACTTGTTTAAATGAATTAATAATTTTACAATACATATATCCAAGGCATGCAATTGATAGCAGAATAAACCAGCACGAACACACGTAGACTGGGAAAGAAATAAAGATTAACCCTTTAAATCATTTTTCATTCCCAACCAACTGAAACCATGGCTTCATATCTATTCATTGAACAAGCAAATAGAGCCATTTCAAAATAAATCAAGAAACTTTTAGTGCTGACTCTATCAACAAAAATATAATAGAGCAGATACTAAAGGAAACTGGTAATACCTTCGCAGCAGTGGCGGTTTCCCTAGCAGTAGGGCGGTGAATAAGATCCAATAGCTCCTCACCAGTCCTTGACTGTTGCTTCTCTCGAAAAGACTTCTTGCTCAGAAGAGCCTCGACGTCCTTTATATCATCTTCCTCTGTCCTCGTCCTCTGCCCTGCCAAAGGTACCGATGCTGGAGGAGGCCTACCTGCCATCCCTCCCATCATTCCCATACCCCTCTGATGGTGCATTCCCATCATCGCCATTCCTCTCGGGCCACCACCACCACCAGTCCTTGAACCACCCATTAGTGACCCGCCACTTCCCGCATACATCATGTGCGGATCCCCGGGTCCCATCCACATGTCGGGTACGGGCCTCGGTGCCGAGCCACTACCCATCCCAAAAACCCCAGCATCACTCTGGTTCTGGGTCTCCATCCGGTTCATATCGTTAGCATTATTCAAGCTGTTGTTAGTGCTACTGTTGTTGGTGGTGGTTTCTTGCTGCTGATGGTAATTTGCCGTTTCAGGCAGCTCTTTGAGCAACCTCGTTCTGTCGATGGCCAAGACCATGACTCTGGACTTGCCACTGACCACAAACTCCTCGAGGTCGACTCCGCCATTGTCCTCGGCCATTGACCTAAGAGCCATCTCCACTGCAAGTATCGCGCCAGACTCTCCGCCCAATTCCCGAAGCGCAGCCTTATCGGCTGGCGTGGCGTTCTGGTCGTTTTCCAGCTTCCTCAACACCGTTGAGGAATCAATCGGCGAGAACGGGACCCTGTGCAGCAAACACTCCGCCACCATCGCCCTCACTACCGACAACGGGCTCCCACTTTCGTCCAGTGCGAACTTCTCCGCCTCGGGTCGAGAACCCGGGTCCATAGAACTCGATTTATGACCCGGACCCGAAAAGTTGGCTGCCGATTTGGGATCATGTAGTGAGCGGGGGTCATGTTCGGGTAGGAGTTGGTGACGTTTTTTGAGGTCGGCGCTGGGAAGAGAAGGAGTTGGGGTGAAGGGGCGGTGATTGAAGGAGGAGATAACCTTAAGAGAGAGATCGAGAGATGGAACCAAGTTAGGGATGATAGACTGGAGAGAGGAGAGACGGTGGATATGGGTAGTGTGTTGGGTGTTGATTCGGGTCTCCAGTCGGGTAC